GCCAAGGGTTGAGATCCCCTTACCGGTCATCTTTTAAATAAATAAATAAATAAATAAAAAAATAAAGTGTTTATGGATGCCCAGATGTATCGTTTGTTTCCAAATTTATGGTTTGTATTCTTACATATCAAGAAAACTTTCCCACACCCAAGATCATAAAGATATTTTAATATTTTCTTAAAGTTTCATAATCAAATATTTTATTACCTGAATTTTTTTGTGGATTGTATGAGTTGGGAGTCTAATTTTATTTTTATTCCATATGGATAATCAGTTTTCATGGGACCACTTATAAAAAAGTCCATTCTTCCTCCTCTGGTAGGCAGTGTCAATTCTGGTGTGACTTTCCATCTATGTCTGGGTCTAGTTTTGTTTGTTTTAATCTCTATCCTGTCCCATTGGCTTATTTATCTATTTCTGTGCCAAAACCACAATGTCTCAATTACTATACCTTTATAATAATTCTTGTCTTCCCATCTTGTTGTTCAAAATTATCTTGGCTATTCTTGGCACTTTGTTCTTCCATAGATATTTTAGAATCAGCTTCATAATTTCAAGGAAAACCCTGACAGGCTTATAATTGGAATTGCATTGACTCTATGGAACATTTTGAGGAGAATTGCCATCTTAACAATAATGAGCTTTCCTATCCATCAACATGGTTTATCTCCCCATTTCTTTTATGACTTATTATCTCTCAATAAACTTTAAAAAAAATTTTTTTTGCATCCAGCCCTTACACAATAGATTTGTTCTAAGTACCTTACTTTTTGTTGTTTCTGTAAATATTTAAAAGTTTGTTCTTTTTCTGTTTATATATCTAGCCTTCTTGTTGAACTCCTGATCGTAGTACTTTTTCTATTGGGTCTTTTATTTTCTATGTATGCAATATCATCATCTATGAATAATGGCAGTTTAGTTCATTTTTTTTTGGCATCTGGCTGGTGCAGGAATCTGAACCTGTGACCTTGGTGTTATAATACCACAGTCTAACCAACCGTGCTAACTGGCTTTCCAGTTCTTATACCTTTTTCTTTCTTTTGCTCATTTTGCTTCACTGGTTGGATATCTAGCACAATGTGAGTAAAACCAGTCACCTCCATTATCCCCGATGATGGTTTTTTGCCTTGAAGTCTATTTTATCTGATATTTACATAGCTCCACCAACTTTCTTGTGTCTTTTTCCATCCTTTTACTTTCAACCTTTATGTCAGGCTTTTGTGGGTCTTGTAAATAGTATAAAGCTGCCTCTTATAAATTATTTTTAGTATAATCTGACATGTGATTTAACTACAGAGTATAAGAATACATCTTATTTATTGTAATTATCTATTTGGAGTTATTTCTGCCACCTTATTTTGTACATTCAATTTGTCCTCTTTCTTATGTTCTCCCTTTCCTACCTTCTTTTATACTGGTTAAGTTTTTAAACTTCTATTTCCCCCTCTATTATTTTGGAATATGCTGTATTTCTATTTAAATTTTACCAGGCATACTTAAAGTCTAAACATAATAAATATTCCTGCCTTGAACAATACAAAGCCCTTAGAATGCTTTAAATCACCTCTACCTGTCTTGCATATTATTTTTGCCCAACATTTTAGTTATTTTTACTTCCAAAGGTAGATATTATTTTTACATAGTCAAAGTTTAGGTTCACCTATATATTTACCAGTTCCTTTGCAAGCCTTTTGCTTTCTTGTTTTCTCATAGAGCTTCCTTCTTCGTGTTGTTTATTATTATTGTTATTTATTTTTCAATTTTTCTATTGTTGCTTTTTGTTTGTTTATTTTGTCTACAGTTGGTGGGTATGGGATTTGAACCCTTGACACTGGTGTTATAACACTGTGCTCTAACCAACTGAGCTAACCAGCCAGCCATTCATTTTTTTTTTTTTTTTTTTAAAGATGACCGGTAAGGGGATCTTAACCCTTGACTTGG